CATTGCATCTGCGTGCTCTTTTATATCCTTTCCTTTTGTAAGTAGTTACTCCGTAGTTCATCATGCTTGGTGTAGACAACTATATAGTCAAGAGCGACAACATTAGCAAGCTCACGAAAGCTGTCAAAGACGTTTCCTTCAACGAGACCGAGGAGGACAAATGCAACCAGAAGAGTGAGAAGGTGAGACAAAGGGTTCATAACGATCTCTTCCATTTTGGCGGGAGAAAAGATTTTCAAGGCAAGCCAGCTCCCTGTTGTATTATACGAAAGCTTATGAAATAGGAAAAACTCGATTATCAGTTTGCTCGCCGTTTCACGAGGCTTTATTTTCCTCCCTTATAAAATCATCCTTCACGTATTCATGGCAAAAAATCTGCCAGCATCAATGTGTGCATATCACTGTTCTAGAATCTTGCAGTTTGGAATGAAGGCCTTTTGCCTGGTAAATAGTTTTCGCTGTGTTTGAATCTTGATAGCCGGCTGTTAAAAGCCTTAGTTCTTTTAGAGTATTTTTTAATTACGTGCAATTGAAGTTAGCTTCAAGCAAACGAACAAAAGGACGAAGTCCGTTCCAACCGCAACGGTATTTGGCGCTAAATTGAAAAGCGGAAAATTTTCTCTTCGAAGGTGCGTTTTCCAAGCCATCTCTTTCTTACTCTGGAAAATAACTATTTCCTCGACAGTATAAAGCTAAATTATGGTTGTGTGTTTTTATTTTATTTCAGCATCGTGGACCAGAGAAGCCAGTTTACAAAGCAAAGTCGAAGTTCAACACCGAAGATGAGCCTCTTCTTCGTGAAAATCCACACCGATTTGTCCTCCTTCCCATCCAATATAAGGATATTTGGCAAATGTACAAAAAGGCTGAAGGTAAGAAGCCGAAATGACTCTAAAGAAATTAGTTTTCTCAAAATAAGCATTAGCCCAATTCATTGCAGTTGCATAACAATTTATTCAATGTCCCAGCAAAGGGCACGCTTGCTTATTTCACTGAGAGAGAGACAGAGATGATACCAAAGTGTATAGGAAATGTTTATCCGGTTTCCATAAAAGAAGAATGAAGGCAAATTGAAAGAATTAATATTCTAAGATTTGTCATTAATTTACTAGAATTACACGATGAGAAGACAATTTTGCCCGCATATTGTTGACAAAACTTTGTTTTTGTTGCAGCCTCCTTCTGGACTGCAGAGGAAGTAGATCTTTCCAAAGATAAAGATGACTGGGTTAAACTTTCGGTAAGATTTTAATCTTTGCTTTTTTCACTGGGTAGCAGAAGTGCACATGTCCTTATGCCTTGAAAAAAATTTCCAACAGGCCCTGTGCCATAGGTTGCCCTCCATAAGGAGGGGTGGGGGCAAGAGTGAAGATAAAAAAATTCAAGGTTGCAGTCTGATCATTTATTCTTTTTTTCTTTCCTGTATAACTTAGGATGATGAAAGGTATTTCATCAAGCATGTTCTTGCTTTCTTCGCTGCTAGCGATGGCATTGTCAATGAAAACTTGGTTGAGTGTTTCAGCCAGGAAGTCCAGGTTCCAGAGGCAAGATGTTTCTATGGCTTCCAAATAGCAATTGAGGTGAGAAAGAGTTGTGATACTGCTGCAAATAGGGAGAACATTGTAAAAAAAAAGTTCAGATTTCCCATGTAGGTACCACTTTCATTTCTCAGAAATGGTGAAGCTACAGTGATTCATTTTCATAAAATCTGGGAACAGTGTACCATGGCAACAAAACTTGGTTTTATATAAGATAAAAAATTCCTTTTTTCTCTTTCAGAATATCCACTCTGAAATGTACAGTCTACTGATCGAGACTTACATTGAGGACTCTGCTGAAAAGTAAGTTGGTTATGCAATTATCATACTCATCCAATTCCTAGCTTAGGTAAGAAACATAATGTAGACCCTGTTTTCAACCAATTTTAGCCCATCTAGATGAGGGTTAATTTAAAGAAAAGAGTCAAAATTTATATCCATGTTTTTTTTTTTTACCAACCCTGGTGTTTTTGGTGATTTGGCAAAATGGTGTTGAATGCAATTTTTCACAGCCAGTAATAAAAATACATCTCAACCAAATTTTAGAGGGTTATTTTTTTGGTAAGCTTAAAAGGCTTCCTCTGTAATCAGTACTTACAATACCATAATTTCCTTCTTGTTTTGCAGACAGCGACTTTTCAATGCCATCGAGACAATGCCTTGTGTCATGAGAAAAGCTCAGTGGGCCCTCAACTGGATCAACCCAGAGAGAGTAAGCGGACTTTTGTGTGACTATACATTCAATCTTTCCTTTGTTTTTTTGTTTTGTTTTGTTTTCTGGAAACTTTTGCCACAGGTGTATGGAGGTTTCTCAGGATTGGATAACAAAAATGTCTTGACAGTTGTGGTTCTTATCATTTGACAGGCATCTTATGGTGAGAGGATAGTGGCTTTTGCTGCTGTGGAAGGAATCTTTTTCTCTGGTTCATTTGCTGCCATTTTCTGGCTAAAAAAGAGGTGGGAGTTGACATGAATTAAACCACTCTGACCCAAGCTAAGCTCTTATTGAACTTTTAGTTTTAAAATGAGTTTAGGTTACACCATGATTTCACCAGTTGATGATACTGTTTACATTGTAGATAATAAAAATTACTGCATTGCTAACTGTCAATCTTTTCTATTAAAGGGGCAAGATGCCAGGTCTAACATTCTCGAATGAGCTCATAAGTCGTGACGAGGTAGGACAAAATTGCTTAAGCTATGTTCAATTTTTTCTCTAAGTAACCCCTTGGAAGAAATTAGCCCTATCATGGACTATGTACCACTGATATGATTGTAGAATTCACCTGATGTGTGTGCTTTCCCTCTTTCAGGGTCTTCATTGTGACTTTGCCTGTTTGATGTTCTCCTACTTGGTCAACAAACCATCAGAAAAAGTTATCAAATCAATAATCATGGATGCTGTCATTATTGAACAAGAATTCCTTACAGAAGCCCTCCCAGTTAAACTCATTGGCATGAACCATACCTTGATGAAACAGTACATTGAATTTGTTGCTGACAGACTTTTAGTGGCCCTCAACTGTTCTAAGGTAATAATAATAATTGATTACACTTTGATTCTCCCAAATGACTATTTTATATTGCCTTTTATTTAAGTTATGAGAATTTTACAGCTTTATTTATATAGTAAAACAGCCATCAATCTTATAATTTATTCTGTACTCAATAGGTTTACAATGCTAAAAACCCATTTGACTTCATGGAGAACATTTCCTTGGAAGGGAAGACAAACTTCTTCGAGAAGAGAGTCGCAGAATACCAGAAGGCAGGAGTGATGAGCAAACAGCAGGAGAACAAATTCACACTGGACGAAAACTTTTAACCAGTGTTTTTTTAATCAAAAAAAGAGAAAAATGTTTTTTCAGCTTGAACATTAATAACAAATCACGCACTTACATAAAGGTTGTAAATACTTCAGCAGTCATTTTTCTATAGATTTTGTATTTTTACAGTTTGATCTTAAGCAAACTCCGTAAATAATATTTTACAATGATTTGGATGTAAAGCTTGAATTTTTTTATGACAGTGTACAGAAATAGTATTTTTTTCCACTGATTATAAATCTTTCAATATATTTTTTTTAACCACAGCTGTACAGTTATCAAGTATTTTTTTTTCTTGTTATGCTTTTAATGGAAACTAAATTATTAAAAACTTTCTGTTGAGAGTTTAATTTTTTTTTTGATCAATAAAGAAACTTGTATGTTTTAACTGTTATCTCTGACTGTGTGAGATCAACACCCCAATGGTCATCTGCAAGGCAAATGTGCTTGCTTTTATCTATCTCTCCTATGATCTCTTGCCAGATATTAAAACTGGATCCCAATCACCTTTTCAGCTTGGCTAAATTACAGCCAACGTACACAGATGTTTACTTTTCGAGTTATTTTTCTTTGTACACATGAGTCGGTGCAAAATAATTATTTCTCCAATCTCACCCTCTTGCATTTTAGCATGTGTATCCCATGCTGAGTTAATACTTTGTTAACTTGAGGTAAAGTAGAGGGTCTGAGAACAGATGACATTATAAAGCACAGACATTCCTAACATGAGACAAAATGGCACAAATGACTAGTTTTTTATTGCTGTGCTTCTTTGTGAAGGTCTTAAAACCCATTCATTTTAAAATGTGCAAATTAATTTTCATGTAAACAAGCTTTCACAGAAGAAGTTTTGGCAAGGACTCTTCTGAAATGGGCCAAATGTGTTGGGTTTATTCACACTGCTAAGTCTGGTATTGTTCCTCTCCCAAACACCAGCTTGTTAGAGAAGAACCATTTATCTTAACTCTAGAGGTGGATGCACAACTTTTTTGTTAAAAAAAATATATTTATACCTGCAAGTTTTGTGCCAAAAAAATCTCTACACAGGACCACTGCTGAAAAAAAATTCATGCACTTTCAGTGAACCTAAAAAAGTGTTGTGCAGAAAAAAAATTGTGCCTGTAAATCACCCCCTTCCCCCCACCAAAAGAAATACTACTTTGAAATTTTACAAATTGACATCAGTTTTTCATGCGTCTGTCCTGTTATTGATCATTAATTTTGTCAGCATTATCAAAGTAGCTGTGGATCAACAAGGTGATAGCTGAGTGGATCTGCAGGGCAGATTACTTTGAATGTTATGATGAAATTCATTGTCAATAATAGGACAGACGCATGATAAACTGACGTCAAATTGTTTTTTATGATAACAAATTGTCTGCTCTCACTTGTTGCCACATCGCATAAATTAATGTGTCTGTCTGCTTATTGACAACGGAAATTAGCCAATGAGTGTGCAAGAATTTCTGCATTTATCGTAAAAAAAGCCTGTTGAAAAAGGTTGACAAGCATAAAATTCTTGTCCTGGTAACATTTTCCAGAAGAAGGATGAATTTTGCAAAGTAAAGACACTCCTAGATTTTTTTTTTCTCCAGCACCCAAAACTGGAAAGTTTGATGGGAATTTATAGAACCTACAGAATGGACATTTTATTGTGAAAAGTCAAACACTAAACCACCTATTGCAGTCAGTAGCTTGCAGCAGTTTTTGAACAAGGACCAGAGAAAAATAACCCATATTTGTTCAAGAGGAAGAATGAAACACAACAACACAACGTTCTTTCCACATTTTTCTCAATTTCCGCAAGGGACACTTTTTGAAATTCAGGCAGGTGACCATGGGACTGCCCTCAACCAGCACCCCTTCCCCCTTATACTTTCCTGATCCTGTATTGTGGGTACTGCTGTTCAGAATTTTATGGGTGGCAAATATTGGCCTTCTACTCCTGATTCTAGATTCTCCAAATCAGGAATTAAAATAAGGGATATCAAACTTGGATCAGATTTCATCCAATTGCGTGATACTTTCATTTGGAACGAGTTGCGCATTGAACTTTAACCCCAGGTGTAAGGCCTGGGTACTAGCTAGTTAGAACGCCGCCATTTTGGATCGAAAGAATATGGCTACGTAGCTCTGACAATTTTGGATTGAAGTTCATGTGATGTCTGCTCCACCAAAACCTTGGGAAGGGGTAGGAATAAATGCAAGGTCGGCTTCTCTCTCGTTTGATTCGCCATCTCGGCTTCCAATAGGGGCTGGCGGCCCGAAACCGAATGCTCTTCGTAGCTGTAGTAATCCCAGCGAAATGGATGCCTCCAACAATTCTGGCTCAAAACCACCTCCTTTGCCGCCAAGACCTCAGGCACAGAGATCAACTGGTGGATATATGTATGGAGGCCCAGGATATGGTAATTTGGGTTTATTTCCTGCACTCAGTATCATGAAAAAGCTTTATGTCATGTTTATAATAATTATTGCAACATGAAACTTATGTGCTTTTGCATATAGCCTATGTTATGTTGTAAATAGATGCAATACAAAAGTTTGGCATAAAAATGAGAACCTTGGGTTATGTTCTTTGACAACTACAAGAGATGTTATTTACCAAAATTTTTCAATGCAGAAGAGTCACCCCAAAATGTCTGACAAAATAAACTCCTCAACCTCCTCTTTGCAACTTGCAAACCAAAAGGACTTTGTGCCTCCCTGTCACTATAATTTATACCAGAGTATTCCTCCACTTTCAGAAACAAATATGCGTGTCTTAAGACTAAATTGATTGTATTTTAGGTACTGGTGGGAGTATGTATGGTGGATATAGTGGCATGTATGGAGGTGGACTTGGAGGCAAGTGAAGTTAGAAAAGATAACAATGACCACAAAATGCTCTAACTGTAATCTGTTTAACAAATAGATTTCATGTTGTTGTTCGTCTGGTCAGTAACAGATCACAGATTACATCAAATTGTGGTGAGAACTGAAATGTGGCATGCAAGCCATTAGGCGAGTGTGTTACTGATGTTCTTACCACATTTTGACATGTTCTGTGATCTATTACAGAACAGATGCACAGTAACATGGAATCTATCTGTTTTATATAGTGAACAAACAAACAAAATGTTAAATGACATCTTCTGTACATTTGTACCCCAATAGATTGTGAGTAAGAACCAATCAAAATGCGAGAATAATTTGACATATTATGTAACATAGTTTGAAAACAAGCTGAGTTCATGCAAAGGTTGACATCCGTCTGTCAAAAGAAGTGCACAATATTGCATAACTGTGAAGAATAGCTTCCCAAAAGGAACTGTCTGTCAACTGTTAGCCGTCTGTCAGCTGACAGATGGCTATTCGGGTCCCGAGCTTCTTTTCACTTTTAAGCAATATTCCATAAATGGCTGTCAAACAAGTGCAAGAGTTTGATCACTCATCAACCCTTGGCATTTTTTCATCTTTTCATCTTTTTGTGGGTAAAAAATGTGCTGTAAGTTAAACCATTTGGTAAGCAGTGCTGCATAAGTGATACATGTTTACTGTTATTTATTTGTCTCAGCTTTCAACCTTTTCACTGAGTTCATTATTTACTTTTATTTTTTATTTTTCAGGCTATGGTATGTATGGCGGAGGCTATGGAGGTTACGGTAGCTATGGTGGGTATGGAATGGGCATGAACCGATTTGGCAGTCCTTTGAACCAATCAGGAGCAAGCTCATTTGTTGGGCAAGCTGAAGAGACCAGTCGAGCAGCATTTCAATCAATTGAATCAATTGTCCACGCCTTTGGATCTGTGGCTATGATGCTTGAATCCACACACTTTGCCATGCGTAATACATTTCTTGCCGTTTTGAGTATGGCGGATCATTTTAGTAGACTTCGAGCTCATTTGGTCAGTGCACTTGGTGCTTTTACTTTGTTCAAGGCATTAAGATATGTCTTCAGAAAGATTCGGGCTTTATTGGGTTTTGCACCAAACCAAGCACTAGAAGAAGAACTGTGGAAAAGTGCAACAACAGCTGTTGTTTCAGCTAGTGAAGGAGGTGATTCTAAGAAGCCAAGATCATGGCCTATTTTGCTATTTTTTGCCGTTGTCCTTGGAACTCCACTGATCATATGGAAACTGCTGCAATCACTGTTAAATGATGAGAGTATTGTGAAGGACTGGAAGACAGGTATAGTGCACAAACATTAAAATTTGAAATATGTTTTTTAGGGTAACATAATGTTCAATCAAGATAGAAGATTCACTTGGAGGAAAGTTTTCTTTTGCCTCTGTCAGTCTGTTTAAGGAACAGAAATTATTTGCAAGACAAAGCAACTGTACAAGATGCATGACGGCAAGTTAGTAAGCATATAGTGGAATGTCAAATTTCTGCAAGTGGCTTCTACACTATTAAGCCACCAACTTAGAAATTTGTGACTAGCTCAGGCCTATTACATCATTCATCTTTGTTGTTTAGTTATGTCTTCTTCTGCACATAGTTAAATACAATGTGCTTTGTTACTGTTTAACACTCCTGTATCTGAAGCACAAATCAATTGAATAATGGTTTTCAGGAGAAGGAGATCATGTTATTGCAAGAGCAGAATATGACTTTGACGGTGAGGGAGAGGAAGAATTGTCATTCCGTGCTGGTGACATTCTTCGACTAGCACCCAAAGGGAAACAGCCTCGCATCAGGGGATGGCTTCTGGGAACAGTTGACGGCATTAGTGAAGGTGTTGTTCCAGCTAATTACGTCAAGGTTAGTGATTTGTGTTCTGTTTTGTAATCTTAGTCAGTTGTGTTTGAATGCCTGAGTGCTGAAAAGTATATAATACACTTACAGTCAAACCTCTCCACAACGGCCACCTTGGGCCATTGTGGAGAGTAGCTGTGGTAGAGAGGTGGACATTATGGGGAAGTAGGGGTCATCGTAGTTTATAAATATGTAACATGATCAAACTATATCAGTAACACAGAAACTAAATTATAGACTGAAACAGAGACCAACGACGTGCAGTATAGATCAAGTTTGGTAACCTTTTACTAACAATAAAAATCAGTCATTGATTAAGTGGCCATTGTTGCGAGGTTATTTTGGCAGTTAGGATGTGCTCTGGAGAGGTGGCCATTATTGAAGGTTCGACTGTAATATTATTTGTCCTTTTAATATATTGCTTTTGACAATGAACAGATTTTGGGTCTTCGTCGTGGGAAGAAGGAATCAAAAGACATAAAGAAAGGAAGCCAAAAAGAATCACAGACATCACAAACAGCACAAAGAAGGAAATCTCAAACCAACATGGATCAGGAATTTGACAAGATCATGGAAAAGACAGATGAGGACAGTTTGTTACAATCTCAGAACTTACTTCCTGAAGATTCGTTAAGTGAAAGAACTCTTGCAGACGATGACCTTTCAGATTCTGGTTTACCTAACTTTAATGAAGAACAAACTTAATACTGTTGGATTCAGTGGTTTAGATGACCAATTAGATACTAGTGACGTCTTTTAGAACTCAACCATCCAGCTGATTGTAGAGATATGTGAAGCATAATGTTTTGCTGTGGCAACCTTTGGCAGCAAAGTTTGACAGCTAAATTCTTTTCTTAGCTAGTTGCATCATACTACAGAAATTATACTTGACTACTGGCTTTAAGAAGCCTCCGATTCTCAGGATTGGGATCAACAGACACCCTTCTTACTTAGAATATTTTGCCCAGACTGTCTGCTTATCATGGATAGGTGTGGGGGGACATCATTTAAAATGCCAGGCCCTAGTTGCTTAAAAGGAGGATTATGCTATCCACATGATAAATCACTATCAGTGGATAGCATAGTTTGTTTTGTCAACACTTTGAATAACCGGGGCCAGGTGTTTAAAACTGTAGCATCAGCAGTTGATAGTACCTGACTAACTTCAAGTACGGTCAAGAATAGTTTTATTCTGGTTTTGTATTAGTACAATGCACTTAGTCTAATAAACTGTAGTATCACTGAATTAAAAAAAATCACATGAGTATTTTAGGGGTAGGAACAAAAGTGCACAATTTATAATAATAGTGATCTGATCACAGTTGATTTTGGTTTGTTCTTTGGGATTCAATATCCACTATTTTGGCTCATGAGAATGATATTAAACTAATTCAATTAGCATTAAAAGACACATAATGGGCTGTTTTGGACGGGGGTATTTTTCAGGTGGGTAGGCAAAACAAACGACATGGTGGTTGATGGTTTACTGTTGTTTTCATTTTAGTGTGGAAAGTGTGAAGTGTTTGCACTTTACCTTTAATTGGCTAAAAAACATTTGCCACTTTGTCATCCAACTAGAAGTAAAACCAAAACCAATCTTGACTCACATTATGCTAAACTTTGTTTGTTGCTTTGAGTTTTATTGGCCGAATTTATACTAGGGTCGAGGGATGAATTATCCCTCGGCGACAAATTATTGATCATCCGTCTTCAGATGATTCATCTGCCAGCACATTTTGTTGCCATATAATTTGTCTAAACACTGAATAGAGATTTGGCGTTTAGACTAATTAGTAGGCTCATATAATCCATCTCTAGTGTAAACATAGGCACGCAAGGCATGCAAGAGTTATTTTTTTGTGAAGTCTCGGAGATGGGAGCATTCATGGAACTGTTTACAATAATGATTGGGTTAATTTGACGAGTTTTTTCGGTTGCGATGTACAGCAAGAAAGAAACTGGGAATTTATGCTGTACATACGATGTTACATGCGTAACGGTAAGATAACTAAATAGTGAGCCATAAAATGTTTGACTGAACATACTAAAGCAATCTGACACGTCTCCAGATTAATATAGATACCATCTTATTTTCTAACAGGCAATTCGATTCGTTCTTTGATACAACCCACACTGTGATTGGTGTGTCACGCGCACATGCATAACTCACTCACCGATCACATAGCCCTTCCAATCCCCAAGAGTAATTTGTGCTCAAAAATACTCAAGTTGAAAGAACTTTTCGTATTTTATACAAGTCGTACGTTTACCCTTTTTACACAACACAACGCAACACAACAACACTACTTCACCGAAAATAGAAAGAAAGAGAAAAAAAACCTCGCTGACACGTTGAAAGTCTTATTTAATTAAATTGCACTTG